GGAAAGGCCCTGTGCCTCATTCTCTGCCCCCCTGAGCTAGCCATCTCCCGTGCCCTGGGGTCGGATTGGAGCCAGTGCCCCCGAGAGGGGAAAGGCCCTGTGCCTCATTCTCTGCCCCCCTGAGCTAGCCATCTCCCGTGCCCTGGGGTCGGATTGGAGCCAGTGCCCCCGAGAGGGGAAAGGCCCCATGTCCCATTCGCTCCTCTCTGTGACAGCCAGGCCCCCGCTGTGGTTTCAACTGGACATGGGGTTCTTTTTCAATTCCTCCCCTTTCGCTGTTGGAGAGTGTTGCCTCCACCCCAGAGGTGGACGCATCTCAGGATGAGCTCTAAGGAGGTGACACAGTCCCTCCAATGTCTGCATGGGGCTCTGGGATCCCATGGGGAAATGTTGCTGGAGAAAGATTAAGCAATTGTATTGGCAGGGAAAGTCAGCACCCGGACCACTTTTGAGTGACCCAGGGTCCTCTCGCCCAGCCAGTCCCTGCCCATCTCACCTTGTACAGGACGACACTGATCAGGATCAGTAGAAACAGCCCCCCTACCCCGCTGCCTACGTATACGGGGAGGTAATTCATCACGTGCACCAGCTCCACCTCCGTGGTGACCTGCAGGGGCAGACACAGGGTGTAACGGGAAATGCAGATGGGGCTGTAAGGGGGAAACCCCACCAGCAGCTTGCAGGGAGGAATGGGGGAGGGGGGAGGGAGGGTTCACGGCCAAGATCATTACCTGGAATTGCGTGAATTCGTCGCTGTATTGGCTGACATATTTGCTGGTGTTGAAGGTGAACCACAGGGCAGTGCAGAACCGGAACCGGGAGGAGGTCTGGAGGGAGAACCGGACACCAGGCCTCAGACACCCTGGCTCCCCACTCATTAGCTCACGGGGGGGAGAGGGGGCATGAGGCGGCACATGGGAGGGCAGAGCATGAGATGGGTCGATCCCGCCTCCATAGGACAGCCTCACTGGCGCTCTCTGCCTGCCTTGGCACCTCTGGGGGGCATGGAGCCATCACACCTCACCATGACGCTAACCCTGGGAAGCGCTCAGTCCCCCGGCCGGGGGCCACACTACGGACAGGCCAAGAGGAGGTTTGACCTGTCAGATCAAGAAGCTGTGGGTTCAATCTCTACAGCAGCTCCCAACGGAGAGCCCCCTTACCCAGGGGGGCCCAGCAGAGACCTTAGGCCAGGGTGAGGGGCTCAGTCTCTGTGCTGAGGAGGTTGGGTAGGGCCTTGGATTCCCTCCCCCGCCCCGAGCCAGCCAGTCTCCCCACCTGGGACTGGAGCAGACCTGGCGCTCCCTAGAGGAGAAAGGCCCCATGTCCCATTCTCTGCCCCCGTGAGCCAACCTGTCCCCCTGCCCTGGGCCTGGCTCAGTGATGGCGCCCCCTAGAGGAGAAAGGCTGTGTATCTTCGCACAGAACCCTGACCTCAATTTTGTCGGTAACTGACAATGTCCCGGTGATGGTGATGGTGGAGTGGGCGTCTATCCGGCCCAGGTTGCACTCGCAGATTTTCCAGTCTCTGGGTGAGCAGTGCTAGGAAGAAACACACCAGCACAAGGTGGGGAGGGAGTTCTCCGGAGAGCCAACGCGCGGGAACAGGGGCACAAAGGCACCCGAGAGGTTTCTGAGGCCAGTGAGGGGTGGGGACCTGGCTCAGGGAGAGGAACGGGGCTGTTGGCTCCAATGGGCCTGACAGTCGGGGACCTGGGCTGGTTTCACACACAACGTAGAGCAGGCTGGGTTAGTGCTGGGATGGGAAAAGCACGAAAACCCAAGAAGTGGGTTGGAGGGTCAACAGGAGGCATTCGCCCCTTTCAGTCAACGCTGGCCCCGATGCCACAGCATGGCGCTAGGGGCGCTGTGCTGCAGGGAGCGGGGTGGGGGGCTCAGTAGAGGGTGCTGCCCCCTCACAATCAGAGCTGACCCCAGTGTGGTGCTGTCTGAAGGTCTTTCAAACTCAGCATCAGTGTGAGATCCTGGGCATGAACGATTCCCTGACACTTTTCCCCAAGGCTGGGGCTGGGAACCTTGGTGTTCTGGCCACATTACATTCTGCAGGCTGCACCGCGCCCTTCCCCGGGGGGCTGCAGCTCAGCGTCAGGCAAGGGATCTCTGTATAAACAGCCCCCATGTCCTGCCCCAGAGGTGGCTGCATCTCCGCACCGGGCGAGGGATCCCTGTAAAGGTCTTTGGGCTGAGACATGTCTGACACATCACTCAGGACGGAGACGCCTACCTTGAGAGTGTGGGAGGGGATGCCGATGGCGTCTGCCTCGTTTGTTTTCTTGGACGTGGCAACAAGACGGCAGGTCACCTTGGGGTCCTGGGGGAGCAAGGGAAACCCAGGAGATTCCACCGCATGTGACTGTGCACTTGTAGAACAGCTGATTGTCAGACCCTGTATCCTAGCCCACTGCTACAGGGCGCTGTGCTGTGAGAGGTCCTGGCCATGGCCTCTGTCCTGGTGCTACGGGTGCTGTGCCATTGGGGGCCCCGTCTGTGTCCCGCCTCCCACCCTGGCACTGGGGTGCTGTGGGGGCCCCCCAGCTCTGTCCCGTCTCCTGTGCTGGCACTGGGGTGCTATGCCATGGGGAGCCCTGGCTGTGTCCC